TGGAGAATGTGCTGTAGATGGTAGAAGAACCCTTTTTGGTGCCCGTTTCAAAAAGGTTCGATATAGAACTATCTACAGCACATTTTCCATCAATCTGAAGAACGCTTTCACAAAGCAAAGAACCCTTTAATCATGGAAAGGGTTCTTTGAATGTTCATGGTTTGGTATAGAACCATGTTTTTTTTTACTAAAGACCCCTTGAAGAACTTGTTGTTAAGTATAAGTATGAAAATGTTAAGTGTATATATTAGACTTTCCAAAAGTAATTTTGTCGTCTTGTTCTATGTAGAGTTGACAGGTGTCCAGTTTTGGACTGGACAGGTTTTGAGCTCTGCTGTCCAGTGTCCAGTTGGTACTGAGCTGTGGTTAAATGAATGATCAAAATAATTTAGCATATTTGGTATCGGTTTCTTTTCTCTTCACAGACTTACTGTTTTCGAGCTGAAAGATAAAAGGTGAAAAACTATGCTAGTAATGTTAGCTGAGGTAACTTCCCATGAGCGCTAAAAGACTGACTGCCTTTCTCTGTGTAAATTTCAAACCATGTTATCTGCTATGAGTTTTATTCTTTAATGGGCAAAGAAATTTTGAAGAAAAAACAAACAAAGTAAACAACAAGACAATATAAAACTCTTATAAACACACACACACACACACACACACACACACACACACACACACACAAAAGCCAGAAAGGAGTGAATGTGGGAGTGTGATAAAGACATATTGCCAAAATCTGTCAGGACAGGCCCTGTGGGTGGTCGTTTCTGCACTGTTTCTTACTTTGGGCCCCAGTGCCACCCCTCAAGCACCCCCCCCCCAGCACCCCCCTAATCCCCCCCCCACACACACATGCACACACAGACACACAAAGAGTAGGAACATTGCAATAACAAAGTTTAAAAGTGTTTTTCTGAAAAGAAAAAAAAATAGAATTTCCTCTCAGACCGGTAAAGAAGTGACCGCACTGAGGTCCAAATACGGCAAATGAACACACTGCGCAGCTCTGATGTAATGGTCTGTGACTTCAGGCATGACTTTGTCCTCTGCATCACCCAGTTCATCTCTCTTTCTCTCTCTGGCCTGAGTTTCTTTTCCCTTCATGTATTCCACCCTAAATTAAAAAAAAATGCCAAAAATGTCATTAATCCCTGGTGACCATTATTGGCTCAGTGAGTCTGTTTACATGCACTTGATCCGATAACTGCAAAAAATCAGATTTTGTCAGTAATCTGATCAACGTGTTTACGTGCACTTGAGTAATCAGATAATGGTTAAACTCTGGATCTACATGAGTCAGGCAGTAATCAGATTTCTGCTTCGCATCCAGCCTATAAACTCACAGGAGAAGATGTGACGTAAACATAACGTAAACTCAAACTTCATGCCGCAGCTTTTAAAAAAACATTTGCGCCACTTTACCTGAAAATATGAACATACATCATCTAGAAAATAAAGAATATTTAATAAATGCCTCACTTCGTCAAGCATGTATTTGGTTTCAGCGTCGCTCCAAAAGTGTTTTGCTGCCATCTGCAGCGATGCTGCTTGCTTATTTCGCACATGCACTGACTGAGAAATCCGAAAGAAATCAGAGTAAGAGTTCACATGCGCTGAGAAATCTGATTATTGAGCTAAAATACAGCTCTCTTTATCAGATCTCTTAATCAGATTACTAGCTCAGAGTATGCTGTTTACATAACCATTTCAATAATTAGATAACTGCAGAAATCTGATTAGGATCAGATTACTGAGTGCATTTACATGTTTTTGCCCCGTTCTCCCTGAGCTGAGTGCGTCCAGGTGCTTATTTTACTGTCTCTCTATTCGCAAAGCAAATTTTTTGTCTTTGTTTTCACCAGAGTAGGTGCTACAATGCTGTGTTTGTATTGCAGTCCAGCTGTGGAGCCATTTAGTGGAGCCTCTCTCCTTCTCACTCTCTCTCTCACACACACCTTTGCTAACGTACATTGACTCACACACACACGAAGACACAAAGACACACATAAACACAGACAGTAATGCCCAGGGGAAATTTGGAGGAGTCTGCAATAACTCTCGCTGTCTCGCTGACCAGTTTGTTTTCGGCTGTTTCTTTTTTTCTCGTCCGCATCCTGTCACTCATATTACGCTTTCGTTTTCTCACTTGAGTGTCCATTCCACTCCACCTGCTCAACACTCAGAGACATGCGAAGGGCGCCGCTATCCGCTCTTCCTGGAGGAATGAAAGGCCATCATGAGAACATAACTCAGCCTTCAGGGAGTGTTATGAGAATAGAGCCTTCTGCAGCCTGAGGAAAACAATAGTGAAGGAACATGGTGTACAGAAGAGAGGAAAAACTAACCCTGGAATTTACATTACAGCGTCGTGGGTCGCTTACCTCGCCAACTGCTTTGTGGGTGTGCCGCTAAAATGTAAGCGAACTTTTGCTGTCCAGAGTAAAAGAGAATGCAGAGTTATAGGCTTGTTTCTTTGTTGTGGAGAAAAGCAGGTGAGGAAAGACCTCGTTTTTCAACCAATATAATAACCTCCCACAAACTTCTCCTTCTTCTCAGCACTAATTTGAGCATGTAGCTTGACTGAGGACTCATGACGAAATGCACTGTGCCACACTTAATAATCTGATTGGCCAATGTCTGATTTAATTAGTCACGTATTTGCATAAAGTTCAGAGATTCTCAACTTCATCTGCTTCACTTCACTGCCGCTCCCACAATCCTCCATACACAACTCCCACCAGTCTCTTCAGAAATCATTAAGAGGGAAAAAGCTCACAATACTTGTGATATTAACATTCAATTCAATATGTAGTGATAGTGTAGTGACACAGCTGTCTAAACATTGGCCCTGTCTTCAGGAGAGTTTGTTCCCCGTGATGCCATAGCCATCCATGACCAGAAGCCCAAAGAAGCTCAATTGCCCTCCCTCTCTCTGGCTGGGTAGGATGGTCCTCTCCCCACACCACCTATTCTGCACAAAGTTAGGCAACATAAGCATTAGCTCATGTAGTAGAATTGTCAGTTAGCAGTTCCAAAAAGCTGTAGTGGTGCTTCACGTGTCTCAGACGAAGCACATACCAGCCGTCCCCCACCCAGCCTTCTAACACTTTGTGATAGGGCAAGACATTGCTACAAGAATAAAAAGGTAGTTTCTTATTTCTAATATTTTTAATAAATGAAGTTCTTACCCTCCAAAACACTCTACTTAGGACTAATTCTATCATGGCTGTATAGTATAGAGTATAGAGGCTGTATATACTGTAGAGTACTGTAGAGTATCTCAGACACAATAACAAGGAAAGTATCTATATAAGTTGCTAGGCAAACACCAGAAAAGTTGTGAGAGTTAAAATAGTGTTATTCTGTTGGTAAATATTTGTTCAGTATGTTTTTGAGGCGTATGCCTCTGTCTAGCCCCTATGACCGCAGCCATTGTTAAAGGAAAAGCAGGCATTTGAGACACTACCATTAATTTATGCCTGGCTTTAGGAGTGTAAAGCTGGTCACTGAAACTTAACCGAATATGTAACCAGACAGTGTGTCCAGCTATTTTTGTATGATCTTTACTCAAATGTATACTATACAGTCTTATATAGTACTGGAAATGGGTTATTTGACTCATGACAATAGTGGAACCTATACAGGTTCTATATAGACCTGAAAAAGGGTTCTTCTGTGTTCATGATTCTATAAAAAAAAACATTGCCTTTACTAAGGAACCCTTGGACTTTGCAAATGTTTTAGGCTATCTGAGAAAATGATAAATAAATCTATTTATTTGGACAAAAGTATTTATTTGTTCTCAAACCAACAATATTAGAATAAACACAAATAAACAATACATTGTAATTTCAATGTGTGTGAGTGTGTTAGCTTAACTGTTTCTAAACCTCTCTTAACTGCGAAGCCTGGAAATTCCAGGCTTCGCAGTTAAGTTTATCTAATCTATACTTATGCTGTGGATGAAATTTAATAAATCCATATAATGGCAGGAGTGCAGCTAGAGGCCAGGAACAAAGCTGCTGCTCTTAATAACTTCAAAAAAGTTACATTTTGCTCAATTTTTGTTTCTTAGAATTTATTCTAATGTTTTATAGTATTTTATTTATATATATATATATAATATATATATATATATAATAAATATAATATAATAAATATAATAATAATTTTTACAACAATTAACTGTTGCGCTAAACTGTTTTAAGCAATTTCTTGGCTACCTTAGACTCCTGGCTTAGACACTTTACTTGAACTCTGCTACATAACAGTGACATAAGAATGTCATAACCATGTTATGGCAGATGTCATATGCTGCCATGAGTTGTCATAACAGATTATGTTCATTAATACAACAGTGTCATGTTTCCATTATCAGTTTTCATGACAGATACTATAACATTGGATGTCAGGACTTTAAATTAGCAAGTGGCACAAACTGCCATGATGTTAAACATCGTATCATCTGTCATGACAATTACAAGAAATGGCAGCAGGGTTTAAATAAGGTGTTACTATTTCTCTTATGGAAAGAGAAATTATTTTGCATAATAGTTTTGTACATACCATGCATGCTTTTTTTGGCTGAATGCATTCTATTTGCACCTGAAACCTGCCCCCACAGGCTTAGTAGATCTGGGAAACCCTGAGAATGAGGCTAATTCCAGTCGAGAGAGAGATTCCTGCATTAACGCTGAGAGAGGTGCCTTCTGGGTACTCTTTAAAGCCTCTTAAGTGGCCATTCAATCTCGTCAGCCAATCACCTGCATGATTCACAGCACTGTGTTGAGCATTAAGAGAGTGTTAAAATGATATTAAAGTGGGAAGGATACGATTTGTCATGCGGAAACTATACAGCTACAGATACTGCTACCTCCTGTACTGATGATAGTGACGGTGATGATGGCAAAGATGATGATGCCCATAAAAGTGAATATACTGTGATGCTGATGAAGTCTCCGTCTCTCTCTCTCTCTCTCTCTCTCTCTCTCTCTCTCTAGCTCAGGGTTTGGCATTTCCGCCGGTGGCTCTGTGGGTAACGGTGGGTTTGGCCGTGTGTTTGCTCGCCCTGCTCATTGCCCTGGCTGCTGTCTGCCACAGGAAGATCAAAGAGAGCTGTGAGGAGATGAGAGCAGGTAAGGGCACTTCCCAGTCTGGTCTGTGCAACAGACCACGAATGCCCTGTCCCAAACCCCCCCCCTCTTAGCCCTCCTTGTGCAGATTTTACATAACAAGGTATGATTCAGCTCTGGGGCAGCTAAGGACGTAACCTGATGGATGCCTATAGAAGACCTTGTCCTGCTTCACCTACTGTGTCTTCCCCGTGGCCATACAAAAGCATTTCGCGTCTGTATAGACACACACACAAACGCACCGAGGCTGAGGATGTGTTTATTGTTGGCCGTTAGCATTCAGGGGTCGAAGCAGTTGTCAGAGGGAAAAATGAATGGCTTTTTTGAACTTTCACGAAACTTGCGTAATTAAATGTGCAAGAATGTTAGTTTGTTTGTAGCATTTACACTACTATCACCATTGAAACGTTTGGGATCATTAGCTGTGTTAACATCCACTTTTCGTGCAAATTGCAAGTGATAAAATGAAAATGCATACTCTTCATACTCAACATTAAAAAGGGATATGGATACGGATGGAGCCTTCTGTCCGTTCTCTGTGTCCATGTCATTCATATTTATGCATGTTCTCTGAAAAAAGAGCAGTACCACTGGAAATCGTGGGGGCGGTGTAGCCAACAGTTGAGGCGAGACACGACCATAGCCATGTCTATAGACATGATGAAGAAGAAATATTAAAAATGGTGAACCTTTTTTCGACTTGGTTAGGAAATTTTAAACACCTATATGATGTCGCTATGCCCCGGCACAGGGACAAACTGTTGTAACAGAGCAGCTGGCAGGATACTGAATGGGAATTAGGTCCAATCATGTTTTTTGTCATCAGAATCTGCCCTCTAGTGAATGTATTGCTTAACATCCATGCCAACGTAAAGAAGACATGGAGGTATGAGGACAGTGCTGGTTACATCGTTTGAAATGGACGTAATTATTTTCATACGTAAAGGGAGTATAAATGAGCCTTAAGAATGATTTAGGTAATGATGTCATTTTCTACAAAATGTTGCAAACGTTTTTATTTACCAGTAACAAAATTGGTTTTGACATATTTCCATCTTTAATTTCATATAAGTTGCAAATTGTGTTCCTTTGGCCCAACACACTCCAAGGCGACATTTAAGAACTAGCACTAACTATGTCCCACTGATGACCGCCTTCCGGCAGCTCACCGTCTCCTGTGAACACACATCAGAGGCCACAGCTGACGGTCAACACACATATACTTAACGCGCTTGCTAAGTATGTCCTTTTTTAAGCATGAAGCTTCCAAATATTAAATAGGGAAACTAATACGAATATAATGAATACCTAAGCATTCAAATGATCTAGGCCAGCCCTAGTAGTTTGACATATTAAAAGTAAAATGGATCATGTATTATCCTATAATTCTTAAATATTTATAATTGATCTTTAACAGCATGTAACACAGAACCACAGAGAATGTGGCGATGCTGATATGTGCCATGATGACATCGCACAAAAACCTTCTATGTCCATTTTTTACTTTTGCATAATTTTAAAACTCCAGTTAACAGTTGCATTGCGTTAAAATATAATGACAAACAGACCAGCAGAAATGGTCCAAAATTACTTGGAAAGCAAAATCTTTTTACATTCATTTCCATTACAAGGTAAGAATGTGTTTTCCTTCTCTTAAAGTTACTGTTTAGAGGTATGAAGTTTTGTGAAGTGGTGAAGTGCCCCCCATATATAAAACATATAATCTATTTTCTCATCAGTATATAAGCAAAAAAACATGTAAATAAACCATATATGTACTGTATTTTAACACTGCTGTTGTTAATTTACAGAAATAGAACGTAAATTCACAAAAACATATGATCACCTTCATTTCACTGACGTTTATTTATTTTTACTTTTTTTAAAATATTATTATTATGATCAAACACTAAATGTCAGAATCACTAGTTGAATTAGTGAAACTGTAAAATTAGTAAAAGGCAACATCTCTGAGAAATTAAATTACTGTCATATATATATATATATATATATATATATATATATATATATATATATATATATATGTGTGTTTATTTAAATGTGCTTAAAACTCTATCCCTAGTTTGGGTGAAGCAAAAAATGTAGACCCCTCTGATGCATCCATGTACTTGGGTATTTATTAAAGATAATAACTAGAGATGATTAAGAACATTGCAGATGTCCAGAGAGGATGGTTGTGGGTATGTATTGAACCATCCAAACGCATGATTGGAAAAAGCTTTTAATTGAAAATGAGGATTTGCCAAGGTAAATGTAAATGCTCAGGAAAATGTTGAATAAAACTCAAATGAAGTAAAAAATAAATGGTGAAGGAATGTTGTGAAGGTGCTACGGTTTGGGAATGCAGAGCTCTGGGGAGGCGAGACGTCTGAGCAGAATGCTAAACCACCCGAAGCCAGACAGTGTTTATACGCCAGTCCTCCAGTCACCCAGACGCTCTTTAGTCTTATTGCTGAGGGAAGTTCATTAGCCGAGGCTAGGCTAATTAGTGGCAGTGACTAACTGGGGACGAGACCGTGAGACCGAGACGAAGAACAGGAGCCAAACCAGTAGAGCCAGAGAGAGGTGGCATGAGGAGTGGAGAGCTGCATGGAGGAGGGGGGGGGTCGAAAAAACCCCAAAGACGGATGATTTTGGGCATTATTTTTTGCTATGGTGAAACGCTTCTGCTGTCCCAGCTATAATGAGCTCTGCTCATAGCGGAGGAGACATTTAAATAAAGGTCAGTGTATTGTAACTCGGGACCCCTGGGCTTTTTAAAAATACATCTGCTGATGGTTGGCGGAGGGGCAGCGGGGTTGAGGCTCGGATTTTGCCTTTAAAATGCAGTCTAGTGAAATAGAAACAAGTAGCCAAGTGAATGCATTTCTGCTTAGGCCTCGAGATGGTGTGGGTCATAGCCCGGTATACATGTGAGGAGGTAGTGAAGAGTAAATGACCTGTTCCCTGTCCTGCAGCCCGTGCTGGAATAGGATTTAGTGAATGGGTCACCTGCTGCTGAAGTAATTGAGTTGCTGAGTGAGTCAGTGGCTCCGACTTCAACTCTTACTTTAATTTCTCTCTCTATCTCTCACTCTCTCTCTCAATCTCGTCTTCTCTCTATTTCTTTCTCTCTTTCTCTCTCATCTCTCTTTCCTTCTGCTGTTCTCTATCTATATATCTCTCTCTCATTTTATTTCACTTTTCTTTCACTCTCTCTCTCTTTCTTGCTCTTTGATTTTCTCTCTGTTTCTTTCTCCTATTTTGTCTTTCTATCTTTTTGTTCCCCTGTCTATTTTTTCTCTTTACTGCTCTGTCTCCCCCTTCCTTTCTTTTCTTTGCCTTTCTCAGTCTCTCTCTCTTTCACTCCTTCACTCTCTTTCTGTTTCTCTTTCACTCCCCCTCTTTTTCTATCTCTTTGATTTTGTCTCTTTGTCTTTCTTTTCTTTCTCTTTTTCAAATTTTCTATTTGCTTTCTTCTTTTTGTCTTCTTTTCTCTCCGTTTCTCCTTCACTCTCTTTCCCTCTTTTTTCTGTCTCACTTTGATTCTTTCACTCTCTCTTTCTGTCTGTTGCTCTGTCTCTCTTCATCCCTTTCTTTTTCTCTTCCTCTCTCCCTTTCTCTCACTCTTATTTTCTTTTTCTTTTTCACTGTTTATTTCTCTCTATTTCTCTGTTTTCTCTCTCTCTCTTTCTGCCTTCTTTCTTTCCTTTCTCTCCTTTTATCCTTCACTGTCTCTTTCTCTTCTTTCCCTCTTGATTCTACCTATCTTTGAAACTTTCACTCGCTCTTTCTTTCTATTGCTCTCTGTCTCTGTTCATCCACTTTTTTCATTTCTTCTCTCCCGTTCTCTCACTCTTTCTTTCCCTTTTCCTTCTTCACTGTTTATTTCTCTCTATTTCTTTTTCTTCCTTTTTCTCTTTTTCTCCCAGGCTCTTGTATTTCACTCTCTTTCTCTCCTTCTTTTACTATTTTAGTCTATTTGTCTCACTCTTTCTCTGTATACCTGCTCTTTTTGTCGACTCTTTTTCTGTATATATTTCACTCTTTCTCTCCCTCCCTTTCACTGTTTCTCTCCCCTTTTTCACGCTTTGTCTTCCTTTCTCTCTCTTTCACTCTCTCTCTCTCTCTCTCTCTCTCTCTCTCTCTCTTTCATTTTGTTGTTTTTTTTCTCTCTCTGTCTGTTTCTGTCGTTCTCTCACTCACTCCTCCAGTATTTCTCTGTTTTTCTCTCCGCTGCATGTCTGTTAGAGCTGAGTTTATGTTAGTACGTATCTCCTGTATTTCTCATACATTGACTGGGTATATTTAATTTCCTGTATACGTCTCTTGAAGTTAATATTGTCTGGCAGTTGTGTTATCGTTCTCGAGGCCTATCCGCACCCACACATGTGGCAAATCCCCCTAATATTCAGCGTCTGATTTGAATGGAGCTGTAGAGGAAGGTAAAGTGGGGAAGGCCGGCCGATGGGCGCTGATGGCGAGGTGGAGGGAAGCAGAGTGCGGCGGCCCTAATTGAGCCTGTCGGCTCTTTTCCAGCTGCCGCTGCTTGTGGGCAGATTGGAGTTGACTCTCCTCCTCTCAGCCCGCTCAGTGTGAGGCTACGCGGGTCAGAAAGAGTCCACAGCCCAGTACCTCATTTTTCTTGGCTGTCATAATGTATGTGAGGATGTGGAGTGCGATCCTAACGGGAAAGAACAGCGTCTGAGATTGGGCTGTTAGCTCACACAGCCGTGGAGATGACTGCCCGCAGATCCGGAAACACCACTGAGCTTTATGGGCTTCTTTCATTCAATTCCAGCTCGTTCATTCTTGTCTCATCTCAACTTGACCAGGAAGGTGGAGAACAGACTCGTCTCTGCTGTTCTCTTCTGTTTTGTTCTCTGCTCTTCTTTTTTCCTCTTTTATATTATTATTTCTTTGTCTGTTTTCACTTTTCCTTTTATTGCTTCTTATTATTCCCTTCCCTTCCCTTCTTTCTTGTTTTCTCTTTTCTTATTTCTTCTTTTTATTTTCTTCTGTTCTGTTGTCCACTCTCTTGTGATACATTCTCTTCTCTTCTTCTAGCTACTGTTTTCTCTTCTGTTCTCCATGTCTAATCTCTTGTCTCTTCATCTGTTTTTATATCTCTTGTTCTGTTTTCTCGTTTCCTCTTTACTTATTTCTTCTTTATACATTTTCTTCTCTTCTGTTGTCCACTCTTGTCATCCATTCTCTTCTCTTCTTCTTTTTTCTTCTCTGTGTTCTCATTTCTTCTTTATAAATGTTCTTCTCTTCTCTTTCTTTTTTCTCTTTAATTTTTTCTCCAACTTTTTTCTCATCTTATTTTTCTCTTTTTTCATTTTTTCCTCTCTTCTCATTGTTTTTTTTTCCTCTACTGAATTATTATGTAAATAAATGAAAGAAGGTGTTCGTAGTTAAAGAGAAACTTTTTGGATTTCTTTCCAGTTTTTTCCACCATTTGGTCATATCCAGTTCCACCCACTAGTTAGGACTCCCCCAATTAGGAGAAGGCTAACACAGGCTTCCTCCGAGACCTGTGAAGTGGCAGCACATCTTTTCGAACTCCTGCTAACACAACATCATTGTACACCTGAACGAGAGAGTGACGGCAGCTGAGCTCTTTTGGACTGCTGGCCACGTATGACTGTAGCATCACCAGGGGTTGAACAAAGAAAATGAAAATACATGCTGTCTTAGAAACACATTGTTCAAAATGTAATATATATATATATATATATATATATATATATATAATCATTACTGTCATATGAAAACATCATAATGCCCTTTTTTTAGGATTTTATTTTTTACACCATTTAAAAAATGATGAATGGACCAATAAAACTGATCCAGAATCATTTGGAATAAACATAAACATACATTAAAGTTGAGAACATTACCTTCTGTAAAGTTATAGTTTTGCAGATGCAGGATGTTCTTACAGCAACAACAACAACGATATGCATGCATATTTTTTGACCCTGAATAGACACTTTAAGCAGCAGAAGGAATGAAGAAAGGGATCTGTGAGATCTATAAAGAGTTGTGTTCTTCAAAAAAAAGAGAAATAAATCACTGAACAATCCACACTCGAAATAGGCATAGCTGATGTTGTGGCGATCTTTCACCCCTACCTTATGTCTCAGATGGACTGAAATAGAAACTCTGTTTGTTCAGCACTAAGTTATGCTTAATTACTGAAGCTGGTCTGTCTTAGAAAAGTCAAACTGGAAGTTGTGGATGAAAGTCAAAGTAAGCTGTAAGACTGTTACAGCTGTCCTTTTAAAAAGATTTTCTTCCGCTTACAGTTTGTTTCTGGTGTGTCTAGAAGGGACAAATACATCTTCATATTAAAGATATAGACTGTACAAGTGATACTGTGTTATATGGTCCACAGTTATATACTATTTTTTGTAATTGTTGCTGCAGTTTTACCAAAGCTTCCACTTCTTTTCTTAGCTCTGAACTTTTATTTATGCCGTTTGATGTAACATTCAATTTGCCACCCAAACAAGTGTGAAGCATTGGTCATTAATATGCATTAGTTCATTAACATGTCGATTTTGATTGGCTTTAACCACATGTGTAAAAGCACTGGTGTTCTGGTCAGTACCATGGTGACTTAATGAATACAATTCATTACCATGCCGCACATTTTGTGTGGCACGATTACCGCTACGTTTTATGAATGTGGTCCTTTGTCTTTATCATGTTACATTGTGTTTGTATATAGTTATACTGGTTACGGTTATACTGTATTTTTATAGTCTAAATGGACATAACATATGCAATAGCTTGTTAGTCATCTTATCTTTCAATCTGTTCTTATTTTCACCAGAGCAAGAAGCCAAAGAACTTGAGGAAGCCAAAGAACTTGAAGAAGCCAAGTCAGGTTCGTCATTCTACAACATCTTTTTAAAAGTTTTAAATCTTAATAGAGCTGAATATTTATAAATGTATATGGTTTCTGAAATAATGGAATAATTTCGGAGTTTTCCACTGAAAATAATGACCGAGAAGTTTGATGATACCCTGGAGGAAAGCTCCAAATAACAGTGCGAGTTCCACAAAAGAAAGGAGGTTAAAAAAGCATTCAAAGCACTAGTATTTTTGGGGGCTCATTTAGAGCACTTGTTCAATATTTCATTATCATCTGGACTTTTTGGGGTTGGTGCTAATGTTAGCTATTCTGGGCTTTGCTTTGGCACTTCGAGAGGCAAGAGTCATGTTTCATTCACTTAATGATCCCTTAAAGGTAGAAAAGCAATTATGTTGTTTAAGAAACTGGATTAATATGTTTGGATCTTACATGGTTGCAAGGTGGGTGCTTAACTGATCTGCGTATCAATAACATCAAAAAAAGGTCAAACTTCCTATGAATACTGCATTTATAATGCATTATAAATGCATGTATAAAGTTATATGGCAAACATAGTGCCTTTTAATACTGGGCTTAAGCTTATATAAATGCTCTTGAATAGTTATAATTACATGCACAACACTTTATAAAGCAAGAGAATATGACTTTATGAAGTTTGGTTTCATAATGCATTATAAGATCTGTTCATAAGAACATCGTAGACACTAATAATTGTAACTAAATATAATACTTTTAGAACTTTGTCACAGGCTTTAAGTGAAGTGAGTTTTTTGAAACATCTTTTAAATGCTAAGAACATATATATGTATATATCATATAATACATATACAGTATATAACACTTTATAGAGGATTATAAGTGCTCTTTACAGGCTTTAAGTGAAGTGATATAGTCATGCGCAAAATGTGTGGGAAAGTCAGTGGCAGTTCATGCCATCGAGGGGTCTGTCTAACACACTGAGCATCAGATGTGGAGATACTGCTGCGCTCCATCTGTCAATGCAGGACCTGTTTAAGACTGAAATTAGCAAGCTATCTTAAAGCCATTGCTACCGTTAGACTTGTTCCTAAACAAAGCCAGCTGTCGTTTAGTGTCGTTATCCAATGGCTAACATAAAGCTGCTAATGATTTATCAATGCTCTGCAGAAAGCCGCACCTGCATGCCACCCACATTCCTGATGATACTGCTGCCTGAACAGACTCAACGTATTTAATCACAGACATTGTTTCACCTGCCTCACAATACATCTAACATCATTCTGCTGTGGTCACTGATGATGATGGATTTAACGCACATTTTTACTGAGATACGCTCCATACAAAAGCCACTGGTTTTCAATGGTAACAGTGACTGATTCTCAGAGATCTGTTTCTCATTGTTACTCTGATAGGCCTCTAACAGTAGTCAATGGTTATCATTGGTTAATCTAAACACTTCTGTCCAATGACAGGCTGTTTCCTTCCTTCTTTTGTCTCTATATTCAATATTGTAAATTAATTGTTAAATCTTTTTCTCTATTCATATTACTCTTGCTGTGCTATTGTTTTGCTATCTAGTGTCAATCAGATGGAGGATGGGTTCCCCTTTTGAGTCCTGGTTCCACTCAAGGTTTCTTCCTCTTACTCTTAGGCAGTTTTTCCTTACCACTGCTATCCTTGGCTTGCTCATTGGACCTTGGACCTAGATTTTCTGTAAAGCTGCTTTGTGATAATGATGGTTGTGAAAAGTTCTATATAAAAAAAACTTTGTCTTGACTTGAGCTTTGGTTGCTGACTGCTAACAGTCTAGTACTTGTAATAATAATAATAATAATAATAATAATAACTTCAATTTATATAGTGCCTTTTTAAAACTCAAGGATGCTTTACAAAAAGATCAGAAAATAACAAAATAAATCATCAACAATAAATGAAACAACACAGAACACACACACACACACACACACACACACACACACACCACACACACACCACTCTACATTTCCAACAACTAGTGAGGGGGGGTTACAATGACCACAGTATAGAGTCACGTAGCTAGCCCAAAAAGAGTCCTCAGCCACAGGGGAAAGTCTCACTCAACAACTATGGTGCATCTCACAAGGAAACCTTGAAGGCCGAAAATGTCCTTAGCCAAGAAGGGGGAGCATTTTCCTGCAGCCAAACACCACCAGTCCAGGCACCCGAATGGCCGGCCAAGGCAATACCTGCGATGTAGCATCACTTAGAAAGCCGGCCCGAGAAATGTAAAAGTGGCAGCCATATTGTGTCAGCGTACTTAAAACGGAACGAACACATGCACGCATGCCTGTAACCAGCTAGCCTAGCATTACAGTTTCAAGTTAACTAAAAATAAACAACATTTTTAATCATTTTAATTCAAAATAGCTGTAAAAAAAAACTAATTCTTTTAAAAATAATTTAGGGCAGTACGAGGTTCACCAAAAATCAGCCATTTTTCTCACATTCCATATAGTATCTTCTTTTTACCTGGATGTATACCAAAATGTTGTTATGGTGTATCATAGTGCATTGCAATATTCATCTTTATAACGATCATATGAACAGATATTATAGTGTGTTATGCAGCCTGGCATTTTATAGTTGCATACTTTTGTTTTTATAAAGTGTTGTGCATTATAATATTACTATAACTACTTATAAGCAATTATGCAAGCTAATGCCAGGCATTAGATATATAATGCTTTTTTTATAATGCATTATTAATATAGGATTCATAGGAGTTGTTACCCAAGAGAAGACTACTTTTGGTTCAATCTTCCAAGTCATCTTATCCCTTTGGTTCTTTTACTACCTTTAACCCCCTGAATCCCAGGCTTATTAAATCCTAGTGCTTTAAGGGGTTAAACAATAGCAGATGTGCTGAAGCTTCCACGATGATACTTCATCCCCATTTCTTCACACATTTTCTTGATTGTCAAGTGTAACAAGTCCCTCTTGAGCGAAGGCCAGAGTAAGTGCTGCCAGAATTCCATCCCTGCTCCCCCTGTGGCAGTAATGTCATTAAAGATATTCATTTGACTCCTTTAGTCTGATTGAATTATTCAGCCTGGTCGTGAGTGGCAGAGTTAATACTATGAGATTTTAATAAGCAGGCAGGTGAAGGAGGGTCAGAGAGGGGGAGAGGAAGAAAGAAAAGGAAAGAAGCAGAGAGAGGGAGAGCAGGAGAGGTATAGACAGTAGTCTGTCTCCCTGGTAATGGAGGTCTCATGAATATTTAAGCTATGACATGTTCAGTCAGCGGGGTCAAGAGCCTAGAACATTCCGCAGATGAGCGCAGACCACTCTCAGACTGAAGCCCCTTTCAAGCACACATCCACGTCTCAAAATGTTCTCATGATGGGGACTATGAATGGAAGAAAGCAAGCTGTTACCCTCTTTTGCTGTTTGTGGAACTCACGCTACCTCAAAGAAAACTCAAACTGTAGCCCCAGGAAAAGTCACCAAGGCTTTTAACCTTCTGCAAACGGTGCTCCAATGCGACTCAGCTTGCTTTTCAGGACTTAAAACGGTAGTTTTGTGATAAAAAAACAAATATAGACAGAATTTTTTTAACTGTACAGTCAAGAAGCTTTGAGGCTAATATAGCTAACAAGTAATGGAAGCTTACACTCCACCAATTAGCTGCCTCCATGCCTATGTCGTACCACTCAAACCACAAAAAGTTGATTAGTAATCAAATAAGCTACTGTATGTGGTTTCTGACATTATGTGACTTATACTTTCAGCAAAAAGGGTTCTTGTAGCAGTTATTCTCAAACTGGTCCTCAGGGCCCACCAGGTGGTCCACATTATTGCCCAATCCCAACTCACAACACATCTGAATAGAGCAAAAATATGGACTGTCTGTATATATACTGCTAAATACTGCTAAATACTGCCACAATGACAAGTTTCTATTACTTAGTAACAATAGAGAAAACATTTATGGTGCTATATCAACCAAATGTTCTTTAAAGAACCTCATTCAACAGGTTTTCCATCATAGAGAACACTTGTTTAACTATGCAGAGAACCTTTTTAAGTATTCCAATACTTTTTTGAGCTGTCATGATTTTATATGCAGTACTGAGCAAAAGTTCCATCACCATTCTACTATTTAATTTCTGGGTCAAAACAGCCATTAAGTGCAAGTTTTGTTCAGTGTCAGGATAAAAAGCAGGAAACGTATTGAACAGAAGAACCATTTGGCTTTCTTTTCAGGAGACTTGCTTGCTTCCAGTTTTTCAAAAAAGTCTGCACGATTATTTTTCCACACCTCCAAAGTTCAGTCTTAGGAGTTGGTTGTATTTTCTGCTTTTCGTGATCCAGGTAATCCCAAACACATTCAGCGATGTCAAGTTTGGGCTCTGGAGTGGTCTGTCCATTGTCCTGAGAACACCAGCAGCTTCTTTGTTTGAATCAAAAATTATGAATCAACAGTGGATATTGATTTTTTCCTCTCTCTCAAAGATGAAAGCTTTAAGTGCTGTTTATCTGATGACCATTTGGTGGTCTACCGGGTCTTGCATGGTTGTTAGGATTCCCTTTTTCTCTGTTTTTTTTATATCTCTTTAAATTCCATTGACATCCAACTTCTTTGTCTTATATCTACTCTCAGAAGTCTCACCTGAGAAATGAATCTTGAACTTAATGACCATTTTAACTGGAAATTAAATTAATGATGTTTCTTTAATTTCAATTTGGCACAGTACTATATATATAACCATTGCCTTTTTGTCTGTTTGGTCTTTTTTGTCTGTTTTAACCATTGAGAAAAAAGCTCAAACTGTGCTGAAATACACCACATAATTCCTCGATTTCAACTGTGCTGAGAACTACAAATGTTTTCCGTCTCATGACAGTCATGTAACCCCCTAGCTTATTCAGTAAAAGGTCACATAAGGCAGTTGGAGAGCCACTGGTGAAGTCCTTTTCTCCTAGTTCTGCTAGAGTCTGTTAGACTTTCTTCCCATAGTCCTGCTCAAGGCTGCATTAAGGACGGATGACTTTTA